TCATTTTTAAATAATAATCATTGTAAAACACACTGAATATGATATGTATTGCAAAAATATAAACTTATTAAAATATTTTACTAAATATTCAACATTTTCTAATGAAAATAACCAAATCTATTAATTATTTAATTTTGTATGCACAGTTTATATAGTAATCACTCATTTGATTGGAATAAACTTACAATTATCGTTTGTAAATTATGTTTTACAATAATTATAATATTTGCCGCAGCAACAGATTGTACCGCTCGTAGACCTGATAATCACCCATGGTGGCAATAATACGGTGTGCGAAGTGTTTCCAGCCGGAAAACCGATGATAGTATTGCCCCTAAACGGCGATCAATACAATAACGCCCAACGGGTGGACGAACTCGGTTTTGGTGTACGTCTGGACGCCTATAAGTGCACTTCAGGACAACTCTTGGCGGCAATCGATCGGCTCTTAAACGATAAGCAATTATACAAAAGACTGGATATAATTGCGGACAGAATTAAAAGGGATAACAGTATTTCAAAGTTTCCGCAATTGATTGCAAGCATTGTGTTTAATGAATAAACCGTTAACCAATTTATTAATTATTTTAACCAAGATACAATTGTAGTATGAGCCAATTGAATAATTACTGTATTATTATTAAAAGTTTTTGTAGTAACCAATCGACACAAAATCTCAGATATTAGTTAATGGCTTAATATTTATAAATACCAATAAATGTATTTGGAACAAAAGCGTGATTATGTATTTACCTGAGTTAAATTTTCTAATATAATATAATTTTTAAATCCGACATTTTTTAAATATAAATATAAACCCAAACCAATTTCCGAGATTTTGTTTTAAAATAATATTATTAACATTTATACCTTCTCTGTGCACATGTATTATTCTTTATTTTTTATTAATATTTATACTAAATAAATAAAGTACGTCAGTGTACAACAGTGTATCAATAGTTTACTAAATATTAATTAATGACAATCCAGCCTATTTATCAATGTTAAGCTTTGCAAGAATGCAAATATCCCTTTTTAAGATACATTGAACGCCCCTTTATATCATTAGTTATGTTAGGTAATTGAACTATAAACTTTTATTAAGTGCCTGATTTTAGCATCCAGATTTAACATGTTGCATTACTAATAATTACTAAATAATGCAACAAAATAACAATTTATCGTCATGAAACTTATGTTGTGTAAAGAATAAAATATGAGTTTTAATAACATACTTGAGACAATTACATGCTTTATAATATTTATTGACTTTAATATTAATAATAAACTTGCTTTAATAATGATTTGCTTAATAACGTTAACAATTGTGGCAATAATTAGTCAAACATTGGCCACGAGTGCGAAGCCGTGGGAACCGGAGGGCAAAATGTATGACCTGTTATGGGCTCTAAGGCATCACTATCTGGCATATCATACGGCCGTACATAAGGCCGACGAGCGTATAGTGTTTGTCGGCGACTCAATAACCCTCGGGTGGGAACTGTTGGGCGCAAACGTGTGGAGTAAATACTACGGCGCCGGCCGTCACGCCTATAACTACGGCATCTCCGGTGACACCACTTCTAACCTCATATTCCGGATCCGGAGCAACGAGTTCGACGGACTCGAGCCCAATGTCACTGTACTTATGATCGGTTTGTTTTTAAAAAATATATTTTTAAATTAAATACACTAGCCCCAATACATGGAGTATAGTTTTTATTTTAATCATTTACGTTAACAACTTACAACGAGTTAATTATTAGGCACTAACAATGTTTGGCACAATAACGATACGGCTGAAGATGTGAAGCATGGAATCGATGCGATTATGAAAGAGCTATTGACTAAAATGCCGACCACCAAGATCCTTTTGTTGGGCAATTTGCCAGCACCATGGCCAGACCAGTGCAAACAGCTTAACGCACTTTTGGAAAAGTTGGCTAATAATAAAAGTGTATTTTTTCTGGACATGTGGTCAGCCTTTGTAGACAAAACTGGTCGACAAAACGCGGATCTCTTTGTGTCGGATGGCATTCATCCGAATGAGTCCGGGTATGAGGTCTGGCATAAAACTATGGATCCCTTACTCCGCAAACTCTATCAATTGCTTTTATAAACAATTTATGGAAAAAACAAAATTTGTGGAAAAATTTTTTATGCAACTATATGCGGCGTAAAACAGCACATATAAAAGTAAATGTTATGTACATGTAAATAGTTTGTAAAAATACATACGTACATATGTGTAATATGCAGCATGTTTGCACATTACTTTTAGATAATAAAAGTTAATTAATGAAAAATAAATTTCTTGATGTCTAAAAAATTGTCCATTTGAAATTTGTCCATGATGTTTTTGCATTTAAATCATTGCAAAGCTTGATTAAAGCTCATAAATTGTACATTTGATGATTATATTAATAATAACATGATTAAATAAATTATTGTAATTTTTAATTTATCTTCTAGCATGTTCAATACAAACACAATAATTACATAACTATTAAATATTATAATTAAATAAAGATAACACAAAACGCGTAACTATTGTTTTCAATGTAATTACTTTAATTAGTTTTTAATAGTTGTAAAGTTGTTGTTTTACATAGTTGTTTATATTTAATTTGCGTTAGTTTTTAATTGTTTAATTAGTATTTACTTTAAATAAATTAAAATTTCAAATCAGCAAACGATTAGAAGCGCGCGATAGAGAGAGTCAATGATCTAAATGTTTGCTTTCATCAAATCGTGAACCCGAGGCCAGTGTCCGGCCGTAAACACGAGTCCGATCTCACGTAACAAATGATTGATACCAAACACCGACTCCGGACTCGACTCCGACTGCCGTACGTACAGCTCCTGTGGTCTACCGCTTAGAGCGACGGCTCTTAACCTTGAATTAGTGTCGATATTCAGGACGAGTGCGTCGGCGGGCAAGCGATCGACGGCCTCCTTAAACAATATCGGAGACAACACTGTATTGACATAACTTTCAGCCGCAGAGAAACCCGTGTCAGTGCCGCCAGTGTTAACGCCCATTGGCTGCGATGTGAGGACCCAACGATCGCTGGGCTTAGAGTGCGTTCGCTCGGGCACCACCTTGGTAAATTGGTCAAGTAACACTTGACCCATTTCAGGCACAAACATATTACCTGTGTGCATAAACTCGTGTATTGGGCTAACATTGACCACTTCGGTGCCTAAACGAGTTAACACATCGCGCAACTCATGTACGGCCGCTTCCGTCCCAATTGTGATAATATAGGTGTCGGCAAAGTGTGCGAACACACATATGTCGGTCCTATACATGCAATGGCGTTGAATCTCATGCCACGAGTTTTTAGCAGTAAAACACCATAACCTGTGCGCAGCCACCGGCGGTTGAAAAGCCTTACAAATGGCGAGACACTGGCGGCGATCACACAGACCGTCCATATATACGCACATGAGTTCGCCCAGAGATCCGCCTAAATAGCCGTCGGCAGTGATCCCAACGGCGCTCAGAGCGTCGACGAACGCCATGTGATGGACAGCCGTTCCGATTACAATTCGATGAATGTTTTGCATATTATAGTCATCCGTAACAATAGTTTCGGTCAAACACTCGATGCCGTCGACGCCCAGAGAGGATAGTATTTGGGCCGACATTTCCGCCGATGCCTTAAACGCCGGGATTGTCATCAATGCCGGCACCGATTGTGAAACAATAAATCGCAAACCTATAATTTATATAATTATTATTTTATAAAATACTGAATCAGTATTTAAATATAATGCAAACTAAATATGTTTTACCGTTAAACATAAACCAAATGCTGGGTTTGTTTTGTGCCGATTGTCTCGCAATGTGTCTCGAGATCTGTTGAAATCGGTTGCCGTCTGTAGTCCTCGTGAATACAGCGAATCCACGCCACAAGTCGTCGTCCACTTCATAAACCAAATGCTGGGTTTGTTTTGTGCCGATTGTCTCGCAATGTGTCTCGAGATCTGTTGAAATCGGTTGCCGTCTGTAGTCCTCGTGAAGACAGCGAATCCGCGCCACAAGTCGTCGTCCACTTTATTCAAGTCATCGCTTTCTTTGAAGGCATTGTCCAGAAGTGCGCAAAACTCGTCGTCGGCTTTCCGGTCGCCAAACCCTTTGTCCAATACATTGGCGACAATACTATGCGTACGACCGGAGACCACAACCAGTCGTGACTGTTGTTGCAGTTGTCGTCCGCTTTGGCCACCACTTTGTGATGCCTCCGGTTTTGGGCTTTCGTACAAATCTAATAATATTCGCGTATTTTTAACCACAATTAGGATATGAATTATGTGGTTTATAACATCTTTTGTCTCATCCCCCCGTTTGCCCTCACCCTATGGGACTTAACATGGGAATACAGCTTAAGTCTATAACATAGGATTAACATGGGGACGCTTTAACATGGGTTTCTATGGGATCACAGCTTAAGTCTATGGCATAGGGATAACATTGGCAATGCTGAGTGTATGGACAATGATAAGTCTAAAGGACAAATGCTAATTCTATGATGCTTTTAAATCTATGGAATTAATATTAAGCTTATGGACAATGTTGAGTCTATGGGACTAATGCTAATTCTAAAAATAATATTAAGCGTATGGGACTAATGTACTCATATTAAATCTATGGACAATGCTAATCAATTTTTTGAACAATACCTAAATCGTGGTTAAAGTATAGCATTGCTGTGTGAACCTTGTTTTTAATTGTAGTTATAGTCGAGAATGATAATTTATTTTTGTAAAAAAATTAATGTGACTAAATATCTATTAAATAATAATAATAACATACTTACCAGTGTCAATTACTGCCGCGTATGAAACACCCCGTAGTATTGTGTTTATTGGTTTTGTGTAATCAATATTACGGCTATTGTGTGGTGAGTTCTGATCCATATATTGGTCGCCAATTCCATCATTAGATGTGTTGACAAATGTTTGCTTTGAAGACATTATCACTAAAATCAATAAAATTACTAATTATTAACTATTATTTTAAAATGACTTTTAATTTTAAGAAATTTAATTTTAAAAAACAATTAACAAGTATTGCAATCAATGCAATAATTTAGTATTTATTCTTGGTATGGAAAATGTATTATTTATGGTAGATTTATTTCAATTGCAGAATACATGTTAGGTATGTAATAAAATGCACATGTTTTCAAAAGTATCAGTGATAGGGTATCACAAATGAGACAGCAATTAATATTTAAATATTAAAAAATTTAAAACTTAATGTTTTCCATTGTCATCATATTTACTAAACCAAACTTGATAATCATCATTTGACTTAAACGTACATTTCATAATGTGGCCACTTTAAAGAATAACTAACAGTACACTTATAAGTTATAACGTTTAAACAACTTCTATTAAGGAGACTTTTCTTATAAGAAATATCTCCCCATTAGAAACGGATTGATTGAAATTTAAACAAAATTAGCTCTCTTTATAAGACACAAGCAAAGATTTTACAAAATAATACTAACTTTACTAAAAGCATATTTGGACATTTAAAACTGACCTTTGAGAATAAACAACAATATTTTATTCTAAATTACTTTAACTTAATGCAAACTGAAATAGTAAATTATTAGATTAGGTTTAACAGACAAAGTAATAACTATAATACATATTAATCGTGTTTATATACGAACTTCTCTCGAAGAGATCCTCTCGATAAACACTTTGGTTATACATCTATGAATGTATGCAAACTTAAATCAATGCCAATATTTAAATGCAGTCATCGATGAGACCCTTAGACTAGCGGCCGCTTTAGCTAGTGTTCAACGGGAATGCGTTCGCGACTATAAACTGGGAAATACTAGTATAGAACATAACAGTCAGCTTTGTTGGTCTATAGGTAAAATCTCTAGGGCAAATCAATGTGGAGTCTAAGGTACCGGGTTCGATACCCATCGGCTTCCTGTTTCACAAATTTGTTTTTCCAACTTAATTACATCTGAGAAAGTGGTCGGCTATGACCTGAGATAATACGGACGCCAGACTGTCTCAAACCGTCCACTGGGTTGGGGCAACAAAGTTGTCTGACGAAAGCATGAAAGGTAAATAACCGTATCTAAACGTATATCAGTTCCCAATTGAGTTGGACTATCAGGAGATGCGTCCAAATCCGCCCAAACACTACCGGTTCGACCATTTTATGAGCTCAGGTG